CCCAGGTCGGTTGCGAGCCCCCAGGGAGGTGGCGGCGGGAAGTGCTCGCACCCGGCGGCCGGAGGTCCTGGTGGATCTCGGGGGAGGGAGGGGGATCTGCATCTGCCGCCGGGTTCGCGACCGCTCCCCTCCCCCACGCGTGTCTGGGCTGTGACATTGCCGCGGCCACAAAGGAGGAGGTGGAGGTGGCGACGGTGGTGGCAGAACAGGTGGCCCACGCCCTGCGCGGAAAGCCCGCGACCCGCAGGGGAAAGCAGAAAAGTTAATGCGGCAAGTCTGGGTGGCTTTGTGTGTGCGGAGCCGGAGCAGCGGCGAGAGCCGAGGCAGGGGGCTGGCCCCGAGTGGAGGGAGCGCCGGCAGCTCGGCTCTCAGAGCCACAAGTTTGAATCGCCTCAAGTTTGAATTGCTGCCCTGGCCCCTACAGCCTGGCGGGTTTGTCCCTTGCCCTTTCCAATCCGACTCCAGAGTTCATTGTAGCCTTCGAGCGGACCACTGTGAAATTCTCTCAGCCCCAGCCCTTAGCCAGCCTTGTGAAAGCTCGATTTTCATCAAGGCAAGGAGTTTTAAAAAACAGAATGACATGTTTTGTCTGTCGTGGAAGAATCATCCGAGAAAACATGTTGAAAGGAAAGGCCTGTTCCTGATAATCACTTGGGAACTAAACGTCTGTCTGGTGTCACTCCTGGACAGAGGGCCGGATTGCGGACCCATGTGACACACAATAGACATCAAGTGTGCTTGGTGTCAGTACATTTACTTTGAAACTGTAACCATCCTCAGGCATCCTGGGCTTTAAGAGATGGCAGTAATTTCATTTTACACCTTTTTTATTATTATCAAAATTGTTGGAATCTAGTCCCGGTCACACCCCTTTTCTACCTTTTGTAACTGGGCGGGGAGAGGGGGGGATCTTTCTGGTGTGAGATCTTCCTTGAGTAAGACATCTTTTTTTCTAGTGGACTTAAATATTACTAGGTTTTAAAAACACGACTTGAGAATTTTTATTTTCAGCAAAAACTAGTGTGTAAGTAAGTACTAGGAGACATGCCTCTCTAGTCACGCGTGTGATCCAGTATCTGTCCCCAGTAGACTCTAAGTTGGCCTGGAGGACTCCTTTACGTCCCTAAACAATCATTGAGGGCCTCAAAAATCCTTTGTGGGGACATACCAGTATTTACCACATTAGAAATAACAATTTTTTATTTTTCAGTTAACTTAGAGCTAGAAATAACATGCCTGTTGGTCATATGAATGCATTTTTAATGAAAAATAACTTTTCTCAAGCAAAATATGAAATAGAGTGGCATTGTTTTACATGTTAGCAACCTGTTTAATTGTATGTCTTCATAGGAGATAATTGTATTCTCTCATACCTGCATCTCACATCACGTGTGATTAGAGCCCAAAAAGGCTGCTGCACTCGGAAAAGTGTAGTAAGAAGGCTGAACTGCAGTTGTGATAAAAATAGTCTCACTTCTCGCTCCGCACACACAGTCTTAGCCCCACTGGGCTTCCTCCCCTGCCCTGTAAACTAGCACACTGTTTGGGGAGGGGCAGAGGTCCCATTTCCGTGTGATTCCCTTCATCTTTCCCACCTGCCATGCCTGCATCTGTTATCAAACTCAAGGCAAACAGGTAAGTTATGCTAGTATTGGCTCCCAGGATGGCTCTAGGTGGGGCAGAGCGGAGGAGGGCAGGGAGGGGATGAAGGTCTGGTAACTGTGGTTTCCTGACCTTGTAGTACTGTTACTGAGTGGCTCAGGCACAAGGTGAGGACAGTATGCTGGAAAAACAAAGTGCATTTTTTTCCCTCTTGGTGGCTGCGTGAAGAATTCTTGGTCATCAACAAGTAGACTGTAGTTTGTGTTTATTTACACTATATACATGTACATTGATGTAGAAATATTCTATAATTGTGGCTTACTGCCATTCTTTTACATCCATGCCCCCTTTTATTTGTAATATGTATTCTATGAGAGAAAAGAGATAAAGTGAATATATTCATTTTGTTTAAAAAAAGTTTGGAATGATGACAACAAATAACAGGGTTTTTTTTTTTCTGTCTGGGGAGTTAACTGTATAAATTGCCAGTTGTCACTGCACCTGTTGGAAGACAGTGTCTTGTAAGCAGAGTAAAAGTTGCAGACCCCTGCTGAGGAACTCTTTATATCCGCCACATTTTTCTCTTGCCAAAAGTAGTGTTTATCTCTGAATTTTACTGTTTTTTAGTATTCATGTAGGATTATATATTATAATTGATGTGATCACTTATACAGAATGGTTGATCCCACACCCTTAAAACACTCTTACTCTTTACCTTTGCTTTCCCCACAGGGACCTTAAAGGTTAAGATGTCACCAAATAGTATCTCTTTGAAAATGCCACATATTTGCTCATTGCCTAGGTTCTTCTTTGTCCACAGTTCAGTTTTGACACTAGACTCCTATTTTGTTGCCTCTCAGGGAGATTTCTGCAACTGTTGGCTCCAACAAAGACATTCTTGGCTACCTGCTTCTAACTGAATATCCAGGAGCACTGCAGGGGTGGGCGTGGGGATAGCTGTCAGCAGCTTCTGTGGGTGTGTCCCAGGGTACTCTGCAGGGTGCAGGTTCTCAGTGAGGTCATGACTGTTCCTCTGAGAGCCATAGCTGTTTGATCAAACAAGCTGAATGAATACAGGACAAAGGAATTGGTTTCCCTGTATTTTTATTAAGTGTTGATGAGGGGTTGTAAGCACAGCTCACTCCTGTGTGGATCTGCAGTCACTGAGTTCCCAATGCCTTAGAGTTTTACATAGAAAGGTGAGTGTTAAAATATTGATAAGAGTATTTGGTAATCTTGTGTGCTACATGTTCTAATTTAGTTACATTTTTATTATTTTTATTATAAGGCCTGCTGAAAATGACTGAGTATAAACTTGTGGTAGTTGGAGCTGGTGGCGTAGGCAAGAGTGCCTTGACGATACAGCTAATTCAGAATCACTTTGTGGACGAATATGATCCTACAATAGAGGTAAATCTCACTTTATATCCTACCTATGATTTGTGTAGGGCAGTCATCCTTTGCATAAAAAGATACCTCTGATCACTTTTGTTTTTATGAGAAAATTACACTGAATGTTCTTTCAATTCTATGTCATGTCCTTTAGTTTCAAGACTTTAAACTGCGTGATAACTAACCATAGATGCCAGGAACCCAAATTCTCTCAAGATAATGTCACAGAGTAAGGTGAAGGGTGCCCACTGTGTTTTTGTGTTTGCATTTTGATAAGCATATGTTATTATTTTTTGAGCTGAGAATATATCTTTGCATTTGACCTCGAGGTTTTTTGTTTTTGTTGTTTGGTATTTTGGAGTCAGAGTCTCACTATGTATCTTTGACTGTCCTAGAACTCACTATGTAGACTAGACTAACTTTGAATTCACATAGATCCTGCCTTGCCTGCTCTGCCTCGCAATTGCAAGACTAAAGATGTGTACCACCATGTCCAGTACAAGTCATTCTTTTGAATGCATTTTATTTTTCTGAGTTTCTTGAAATTTTGATGTGATGGAGAAAATTTGATAATACTAGAAAAATAAAATCATTTGATGGTTGAGTTATTTAAATAATACGTTTGATGAGTAAGATCTTCAGGTTTATTTTCAGACATTTTTTATTTCTTAAAATCTTAATCAGTTTAAGACCAACTGCTAAGTAATACAGTTAAAACCTGGATGAGATCATGAAAAATCAGGTAGTGTGTCCTGTTGCTGGCAATAGGTTCAAGTTTTCCAGAGCAAAGAAGGGTCTATTCAACTTCCAAGACCAGGGGGAGGAGCTGTTCTTTAACTGTGCTTGTTAATTCATTTCTCACAGGTTATTCACACATTTATGTGTGGTCTAAATAAACTTAACATCAGTGAAGCCTTTGAAATAGCTTTTATTGTTAGATTACTTCTTAGACATCTTTACCGCAGTGTGAAGATGACCCGGTCCCTAGCTTTTATTCTTTATTCTAATGCCCCATTTTTAGATTTTCGAGGTAGGTGCTACTGTACCCCAGGTGGACCTTCAGATACCAGAGACCTGGCTTGAAGTCTTGGTCCTCCAGCTTCTACCTCTTGATTGACCCGAGTGCCTCTGTGCTCCTGTGGAGCAGGCTGTGCTCGGGAGTCAAATCCGGGGCTTCTGGTGTGCTAGCCAGCCCTCTGCCCTCTACATTCCTGTTTCATGAGCCAATTTTAAAAAGAAAAAAAAAATGAGTTCTGAAGAATTTTGTAGAGCTTTGGAATCTCTAGCTATGATACCTCAAATAGGTCAGTGCCCTGTTATGTCTCTCTCTGTGTCTTGAAGAAACACTGAGCTGAGATGAGTTTTGAGGGCATTGGTAAACTTGGAAAAATGTTTATATAACTTAGAACATTGAAGGTTGATTAAATAACGGTTAGGAAGTGTCAAATAGTTTTAGTAGTGAGTGTACCACCATCCAAAAATAGAGCAGAATGCTTATTTGAGAAGATTTGACTTAAACATAAATTGACTTTAATTTAGTTTGCAAATTTAAATTTAAATTGGTGATGTGGAGCTCCTGTGTACTAGTCTTTATACATTTGTTTTGAGAAGTCAGTTCAGTGCTGTAGGAAGGTTCTGCTTTCTTTGAGGAAGATCAGAGTTGACCCATTTTGAATGATGTTCTAAATCCATGACCAATGTAAAAGGAAGTTTAATAGAAGACATGAAGTGCAGAAGTTTTCCTGCGATTTGGAAGATGACTTCAGCAGAAGTAATCATCTTCCTTGGAAATCCGAGCAATTCCATTGTACTTTCTCCTGTTCGGTCATAAAGCTTCATGAATATATACAGCATGAGGTCAGATGTGCAGGATAAAATTGTTTAGGAATCCTTTAGCTCAGAGTTGCTAAAGTGTAATGTACACCTAGCAATCCATTATGTGTAAGGAAGGTAGAAAAGGTTTACAAATTTGAATCTCTTGCTCTGATTATGATTTCTGCCAAACCAGAAGACTTGACTCTGGGGAGCACTGATAACCTGTGAACTTTGAGACTGACATTCCCCCAGGTAGTTTAGTCTTCTGGAGAAAAGCATCAGATTGTCCCTTATCTTACAAGCTGTGGTGAGTCTCCAAAGAACGGACATGGTAGTTTCTTGGGGTAGTCCATTTCTATAAAGACTTAATAAAGAGACTTGATTAAATGAAAATGCCAGCTTCATACTTTACAAAAAGTTTTAATTGATGAAAAATGTGATCAGAGAGAAAATTCATGGAAGCTGGATCTGATGGCATATACTACTCTTGAGGCAGGAGGATTTCCAGTACAAGACCTGTCTGTGTAACAGATGAGGTGCAAGGACACACTGGGCAACTTAATCAGACCCTATCTTAAAGTGAAAAATAAAAGATGGCCAGGTGTAGCCCATTGGTGAAGTGCATGTACTTTGGTTCCATTAGTTTCTCTGCTTTTAAAAAAATGACAAGAAGTTTTTAAAAAATTTAAATGATAGTATCACCAAATTTTATTTTAGTGGCTTAGAATTGGTGAAAATTTTGATTTTTATCTATAAACTTGTGAGGTGTTCTAATGGACCTAAAACTATTTAGCTACTTAGTAGTAAGACTGAAGTTAAATTTTCTGAAAACAAGTGATATTTCCACTATTGTATTTTTGTCGTTGTTGCTTTTTGGGTTTTGTTTGTTTGTTTGAGACAAAAACAAAACAACAAAAACTTGTTATTTGTATTTTTAACCTATAGGTACAACCTGTGATTATATCAGTTTATAAATTTATACACACAGGGTTTCTCTGTCTAGCTCTGGCTGTCCCAGAATTCACTCTGTAGACCAGGCTGGCCTCAAACTCAGAGTCCACCTGCCTCTGCCTCTGGAGTGCTGGGATTAGGGGTGTGCGCAACTGCCAACTGATCACTATGGTATTTTTTAAAAGTGAGAAAGTAGCTGTCTTTCAAACTAAGAAAATATTTAATAATCTTCTAGACTGTTCATCAGTATACTATGACTTGAATTTAATTTTCTAATGACAACCTTATGGAAGAGACATATCAGAGAAGAACACAGGTGTGCCCCTAAAACATTAACATTGGTCACAGTGTAGGTGAGGATCACCTTTTCTGTTCTAAATATTCTTGTCTTTTATGAAGTCCACTAAAGTTTTTCAAATAAATAATTAACTTGTTAGAGAGACATGGTTATTACAACCTCATAGGAAGTCCTCAAACAATACTCAACTAGAAATAGCAGAGAATTAACTAGCCCAGAATGTCAGTGGTTCTGAGGTTAAATAAAGTCTTATATGTTGCATATAGCTTTAAACATTGCTCAGATTATCAAGTTCATGCCCTAGTAGGGACTTTTACTTTGGTTTTCAAGTATGACATAGATTTAAGTTCACCTTTTGTAAAGTTAGGTTACTGTGCATTGTGCTGTCTTTCTCTAAAGTTGTATTAAAACATTGTGACTTGAAAATAGTCTTGTTTTAAAAGCAGTTTTGTTTGAAGAAAACTTAGGGAGTTTTCTTTGAAACTGTGACCAGCTCTTCTCCCTTTTGTGAGTGCCCTCTGCTGGTAACTTACTTGCTTTTTATAATAGATAACAATGAAAATTCAAGTTTGTTATTTTTGTATTTTAAGCTATAGATACAGCCTGTGATTCTATCAGTTTATAAATCTATCAGCTTTACTTGGATGTCTTGTGTAATTAATAGCTTTACATTTTTAAATGGGTTTTACTCTGTTAATTACTGATACAGAGATTACTCTGTATACTACCTAGTCCTAGCTACGTAGGTGAAATATGTACGAGACGAAGGGAGACAGAGTAGAACAGACTGCATTTCCTTGTGAGTGCTGGTGGGCCTAGCTTGTTGGATGAAAGGACTAAAACCTGCAGTGTGTTCTGAATTTGCTTGCTTGTGCTGTGGGGCCACTGCTTGGACTTTGAAGCATTGTGTGTCAACAAAGGATTCTAGGAAGGGCTTGTTCAAAATGACAAACTGTGAAGGTTCCTGTTTTGTATACCAGTTGTCTGTTAGAAAAACCACAAAATTCAGGCAGTGTATTTAGATCAGTATTGAGTGTTTACTTAGTATTTATTTAGACCTGAATTTTAAAACCTTGTTGGCTGTGTATCTGAGATTTTTATGAATAGGTTTTAACAAAACCTGGAATCCCTTAGTTCATAAAATATTATTCAAGGCTCACTTTGTCCCATGAAGTTTTCCTGAGGTTTGGAGAAACACGAGGAGCCAAAAGGCTAGATGACTTCCCTTCATGACGCCTACTCGTCTTAGATGTATTTTTAGGAGCAGAATTTAGTTTTGATCCAAGGCTATACACTTTGAGAACATTAATTTCTTACCTCTGTTCTGGGAATGAAGCTCCTTGGTAGAGTTCTTACCAGAATGGGTGCCAGGAACTGAACTTGGGTCTTCTGCCTGAGCAATATGTACTGCTAACTGCTGAGCAACCCAGGCCCTATTATTGTGATCTTAATTTAATAAAATTGGTAGGAATGAATAATGATAAATATTGAGAGAGTTAGGGATGGATATAGCAACTGCCTTAGACAATGTTATCAGTTTTTAGTAAAGTCCATCATGAAGGGAAGTCAGGGCAGGAACTCGAGGCAGGGACTGAAGCAGAGGTCATGGAGGAGTGCTGCTCACTGACTTGCTCTCCATGACTGGCTAAGCTAACCTGCTTATTCAATTCAGGACTGCCTGCTTATGGTGACTCCACTCACAGTGCTGGCTGGACCCTTCCCACATTAACCATTAACCAAGAAAATACCTCACAGACTTGCTTAACAAGCTAATCTGATGGAGGCATTTTCTCATTTGAGGTTTCTTTCCCAGATATGGCCCTTGCTGTGCCAAGTTGCTTTAAACAAACAAACAAACAAACAAACAAAAAACCAAATAAACAGAAAAACCACCAAGCAGTACAGAACTCAGACACATAAAATAATAGTCTTTTTGAAAAATGTAACATATTTT